CCATGCGAAACTCCTGGCAGGCTGAAGTCCAGGGGGGTCACAAAGAAGCAGACACAACTTAGTGACTGAACAACAACAATCAGAAACAATAGTAAAACCTTTGCCAACAACTGTAACAAATCTGTGTAATATACTCATTAATACCTGTGAATCAGTACAAATATTTTTATATCATGTATCAGTTTGATCTATCACTTAAGCACAGTTCTGGTCACACAGGTGACACTGAATAAACATTTATTGACTTTATTGCCCAAAATGTTTTTGTGCGTTATAGAGGCAATACAAGTACTGGTGGTTCTGATCACAACCCAGGATCTGGGTTGCGTGGGCTTAAGTCCAGCTCTATCTATTACCATCTCTATGAACTTGGGCAAGTTACCCATCTTTTCAATGCTTCAAATTATTACCTGTATAGTGGGGATGACCACTATCTGCTTTAGTTATTTGTTATCAGTATTAAGTGGAAAATGCATAAAAAATGCTGGTTCCACTGGTGGGCAGAGAGAGACAGTAGCGAGAGATAAAAAGAGAGAAGAGAAAAGCTAGAAACTCTTTAAGAAAACCCCATTTACCAACTCTCTAGAAAATTGTTTTATACTGATAATTCTAGAATCTGATAGTGAATAAGGAAAATAAAAGATGATCTGATTTTACATAATTAGTGAAAATATTTTACTCTTAGGGCCTAAATTTACATATTGCATATTTTTATGGTGAGTTCATAATGGCAAGGTACTAATTAAAACATTTTTGTTAGAGATTTATGTTTTTAACATACTCTGAAATAATACAATATTCAGGCAGAAAGCTCACATTCTGGACTGGTAGTTTAATACCTATACTATTGCTCTAATGTAGAAGTAGAAAAAAATGTTTTTCCTTTAAAAACAAGGCCTTAAAAAAACCTATTTAAATAAAGTTAAAGTATAAATATATAACATAGAATAACAACTGATTTTCTTCAAAAATAGATAATCTATACCTTTAAATAAATCTCAGTTTCTAAGACATTTGTATTTTAGACAACTAAGCAAAATAAAAAGCTATTTAGCAGCAATTAATATATTTAAACTGAACACAGGCAAAAAACTGTAAGAAAGAAAAACAAAACCATGTTCAGCTATTGCTCATACTTGTTAATAAGAAAAGCAAAAGAAAAAATAATGAGAAGAAATGAAAACTCAATATATATTTTTACCTGCATGATGTATGCACTGAATATGTACAAAAAGAACAATAATGTATCCCTTTATTTCTGAAAGCAGATCAGTGTTACATCTTTAGAAAAGAAAATCATAAAATAACTCAATAGATTATGAAAAAGTAATTGATTAAAATTTTTACCTCTTTGCCCTAAAATACTGATATACAGCTTAGAAGCATCAGATAGCAACTCAGTTCCTAGACAAGGTCCATGTTTTCACTTAATTTATCCTGAAGAAGGATAACTAGCTGACTAGTATTTCAAGATTAGGTAATATCATTTACTTCAAAATTTGTAAGTAAATATTCTGGCTGCTATTTTGTCTCAGAAATGTTGAATATATTTAAACAGGATAACAAATGAATGACTAAGACCAAAAGAAATTCTAGAAACTATTGGCATTTTGTGTGGTAGCATGAATGAGAATGAAGGACCCTAGGACACACCAAATTTCTTTGGGAAGAAAATATTGACATCCCACTTTCTGGTGGTGGTGGTTGTAAAGGTAAAATTATATTAGAGAGAAACATAGAACAAAACTTCCTACTCTTTAAGTGTAGGCTACACATAATGACTTCCTTTCACAGCATATAGTATGGAACAGCATAAAAAGGTGTATGTTTGCAATAGAGAAATCTGAACACCAGCACCTCAGCCAGGAGACCAAGTCCAATGTCAACAGCTATGTCATGCTGATGGTACATACCCTGCATATGTGGTGGTGATAAAAATGGCACGTTACCCCTGTGCTCTTCTTCCCATAAACCCAGCCTGATTGCAAGAAAAAATGCAGATAAATTCTAGCAGAAGAACATTCTCCAAAATGTCTGACAAATTTCCTCAAAACTATCAAGTTCATCAGATACAAAGAAAGTCTAAGAAACTGTCCCAGTCAGAAGGAGTCTAAGAAGACAGAATGTCACATATAACCCTGGATAGAACCTCAGAACAGAAAAAAAAAAACTGGGGGTAGGGGGCATAAGGTAAATCAGAGATATAAATAATGTGAAAGGATCAGATAATAAAGATGTATTATGCTGGTGCATTAATACTGTGACACATGTATCCTACTCATTTAAGATATTAATATTAGAGGAAATTGGATTTGGGAAATAAGGTATAACTCTACTGGTTTTGGAATTTTTCTATAAATATAGAACTGTTCTAAAAGCAAAAGTTTATGAAAAGTTTTATATATATATATATATGTATATATGTATATATATAGAGAGAGAGTGCACATGCAAAATACAAAGGTAAATTGTTTGTGCAGTGCTTAGTCCTCAGTTGTGTCCAGCTCTTTGCGATCCCATGGACTGTAGCCCACCAGGGTCCCCTGTCCATGGAGATTCTCCAGGCAAGAATACTGGAGTGGGTTGCCATGCCCTCCTCCAGGAAGTAAGCTGCTTAAAAGACACTAAATATTTCAGTAATCTAGTAAATATGAGTAAACTGCATATTCCAATTTAAAAGAGATTTTCAAGTTGACTTAAAATAATCAAGGAATATTCTAAGATGCACACATTAGACAAAAATAAGAAGGCTACAGGTAAAATGACAGAGGAACTGTGTCTCACTAATTCTAAGTGAAAGAAAAATAGTTTGGCTAAATTAATAGCAGATAAATAGATTGTACTAGAGTGAACAATTTTATGAATGAAGCAAATCATAACTAAGTGTTAACAAATTTATTTCACCAAAAGGAATTAGGTATTGTGACCATGAATGCATCAAGAAGATGTGAAGAAAAGTCACTCATAGGTGGCTTACTATGAGAAAATAACAAATCACTATCAGTATGATACCTTAACAGTTCTTTCAAACATTGAGAACAGTATCAGACAAAAATGCTACAAAGGTAGAGAAAGTTTGAATGTCAAAACCAAAAAGTTTAACCAAATGAATGGACATATAGGGAATTTTGTATGTATCTAACACTTGGAGAATATCAATTCTTTTCAATTAAAAATGAAAATATTGCACTGGGAATCATTATGCAATATATAAATGTACAACACACTGTACAACTTAAGGGAGGAGATTTAAAATGGAACATTTATAAAAACTATCATATAATGTCTGTAAGCAAATCATCCCAGTTTTGTCGAATAGATATCATAAGAGCTTACACGGTTAGGAATTAATAAGAAATGCAGATGGTGACTGCAGCCATGAAATTAAAAAATGCTTACTCCTTGGAAGGAAAGTTATGACAAACCTAGAGTGCATATTAAAAAGCAGAGACATTACTTTGTCAACAAAGGCCTGTCTAGTCAAGGCTATGGTTTTTCCAGTAGTCATGTATGGATGCCAGAGTTGGACTACAAAGAAAGCTGAGTGCCGAAGAACTGATGCTTTTGAACTGTGGTGTTGGAGAAGACTCTTGAGAGTCCCTTGGACTGCAAGGAGATCCAACCAGTCCATCCTAAAGGAGATCAGTCCTGGGTGTTCATTGGAAGGACTGATGCTGAAGCTGAAACTCCAATACTTTGGCCACCTGATGCGAAGAGCTGACTCATTTGAAAAGACCCTGATGCTGGGAAAGATTGAGGGCAGGAGGAGAAGGGGACGACAGAGGATGAGATGGTTGGATGGCATCACCGACTCAATGGACATGAGTTTGGGTAAACTCCAGGAGCTGGTGATGGACAGGGAGGCGTGGTGTGCTGCGGTTCATGGGGTCGCAAAGAGTTGGACACGACTCAGCGACTGACCTGAACTGAAAGTACTTAGATAACAGTATTTGATGCACACTTCTGGAATTGCACACATTTGTTTTAGGGATGTGAAAACCCCCCACCAAATGGAAAATGTTAACTTCTTGACGACCAGGAGCACATAGTCCCCTGCCTCCTGGAGACTAAGGACTGATAAAAGTTAACCTCTGTAACACTACCCCTGTTCCCTCACCATCAGCCAATCAGAGAACTGTGCATGAGCTGATCACAGACTCTGAGACCCCCCCCTCTCCCCGCCTCCACCTCCAGCTGGCTTTTAACAATGCTTTACTGAACCCCTTGGGGGTAGGGAGGGGCTTTTTAGGGTATAAGACATGTGTCTCCTTAAATAGCCCTGCAGTAAACCTTTCTCTGCTCCAAACTCTGACGTTTTGGTTTGTTTGGCCTCACTGTGCCCTCGGGCACACGAACTTGGACTAACAATCACATTTACACCGACTTGCCCCCTACCACTTCAGAGTGGTTCTTCAGAGTTATCTAAGAGGCTGTCTCCTGAGCTATAGTCCTTACTTTGCCCCCAAATAAAACTTAACTCACAACTGTAACATTGTGTACTTTTTTAGTCAAAATAACAAAATGTAGATTAAATGTATAGGGTAAACGGGAAGGGGTTATGAGGGGATGAGAGAGGTTAAAGAGTAGGGAGAATATATACAGAAGCAGTGGGAAGGTTAGCGTTTTAGAAAACCATGTTCAGGTAAAAACTCCCTGAGAAGGTGGCATTTGTAAAATAGGAATAGTGTCTTTTCTTTTTTAGGCCTGTGGTGAAGATTTACTAGGCAAATACATGGATTCATAAAACACCTTCCAGAGTTCCTAAATGGACCTAAGAAACCTCTATGCAAGGGGGCCAACCTGGAACTCAAAGGAAGGGGGAACGTTGGTCAGGACGGAACTGTGTTGGAAGTGGACATTGCCTTGACGGAACGGCGATTCCCTGAAAATTGGGCCGGGTGGAAACGTTGGTCCTGGAGGAACGTGGATCCCCGAGGAACCTACAGTTACCCTGGCAACGACGCTCTCTCGGTACGATAGAAGGTGGTACGCGGGAGGAGACGGGACGGGGCTTCCGGCGGAAGTGGCTAGCCTTCCACCGACTGTCGGGGAAGATGTTGCGTTCAGGGTGGCAGTGGCTTTGCGTTGGACTGTGCAGCCTCCTGCTGGGACAGGCGGAGGCCCCGACCCCTGTGGAGCCTCCAGAGCGGAGCCGGCCGTATGCGGTGCTGCGTGGGCAGAACCTGGGTGAGTGGCCGCGGGCCGGCGGTCGGGTCTGCGCTTTCGTCGCTCCGGGCAGCCGGAGCCTGGCACGCGCGGTTTGGACGTGGGGGCAGTGTGAGGGCAGCGGGTGCTGGTGCAAGCCGTCTCCGAAGGCCTGGGGCTCAGCGGAAGGTTCGGTCCACTGTGGGCTTGATAGGTGCGGGTTGCATGAATGCCCTGGGTAACCCAGGTCACACTCTGCGTCCCCTCCTCTGTGACTTGTTGGGCTCGAGCTAGGCTACACGGCGCATAATATACCCCACCCCTTCTGCTTTTCTAAGGGGACTAGTAGTCATAGTTGTAATGATAATTGACATTTGTTGAGCATTTCCTATGTACTGTGTTGTACTAGGCACGTTATATATATATGATTTTATTTGAGCCTCAAAGTAACTTAACGAGAAAGCTACAGTTTTTCAGCGCTCTTTACAGATAAGGAAAGTGGAATTCAAAGAGGTGAAGTTATTTGCCCCAGGGTTACACAGCCAGCCAGGTGGATGAACTTCCCTGGCAGTTCAGTGGTTGAAACTCTGTCCTTCCACTGCAAAGGGCTCGAGTTCCACAAATATTTATAAATTTTATAAATAAAGGAAGTGGTGGCGGCCAGTAGGAGAACCTTAGTTTTCTGGGGCTTGAAACATCCTTTTGGGAGGATGTCATCAATATGCACAGTCACATATATACATATAAGAGTACATGGCTTTGGAAGGGGCCCTGGAGCTCAAAGCTTGGCAAACTTTAAAAAGTCTTTTGCGCTGAACTTTCATTGGTAGGTCTGTATATCTACAACGCTGCCACGTGGTACTGTTTCTGGATTACCTTGATTCTCCATGAGTCCATTGTCATGTATCAACAACTTACTTTGTACCCAAGTATTTTGTACTTGCTCCATGGTTTCCATACATCTTGCTTAATACTTTAGAACAGGATTTCTCATCCTGGGTGCTGCTGACATGTTGGACCAGATGATTCTGTTTGCGGGGCAAGGGCAGTGGGGGGCGTGGACATACTATTTTGATCACACACTATCTGAGTGGTCTGAGATATTTAACAGCATCCCCAGCCTTTACCAACTAGATGCCAGGAGGACACCCCACTCCAGTTCAGAGAGTCAAAATGTCTCCTGACACTTGCCAAGTGTTCACTGAAGGCAAAATCCCCATGGTTGAGAATCCACTGCTGTTCTGTAGAACAGTACTATAAAAGGAGCGGTGGCAGAGCCCTGTGAAGTCTGCAGACTTTGTTATCTGCAGAGATGTCTTAGAGCACTTGAGATTATTTAGAAATTTAACAGTGTGACATTGTTGCAACATCAAGCAACTCAAAACCACTTCTAGGTCTCTAAATGGGAATGCTTTCTAGGTCATGGGAGCTGCTAGTCAGTCAGTCATGCACAGTAGGGCTAGGTAATGGCACTGGAACAGACAAGCTACAAAAGCTATTCCTTTACCACAGATTGTTTGAGAAACACTCCCCTGGACAGTTCTATGCAGTGGGAATTTTTATCTCCATTTTCATAGAAGAGAAAACAGAGAGATTGTGTAACTTCTGTAAAGTCACGTAGCCTGTAAGTGTAGATGGGAACCCAGACAGTCTAAACCCCAAACCATGTGTTCTTGACCGCTGTGCCGTGTTGCCTGTTTCGGTGATAATAACGGCTTTCATTTATCATGTGCTTATTATCTGTCTGGCACTGTGTTAAGCGCTTTGCATATAAAATATGAAAAAATGTTTGAGATCTAGAATGCGATTTATTTGAGTAAGACAAATTGACACAATTGACAGTAAAAAAAAAAATCATGATGTGGAGGTACTTTTTAAAATTTTCTAGTATTTTGGTTGTTTGACAAGCACACACACAGAAGTATTCCAAATAAGAGTTGGAACTGCCAGGAATATTGTAGAAAAAACATTCACATTCAGTGGAAATGGACCAGATGTCCTTTGAGAACCTTCCAAGGCTAAGATTTTAGAATTCTTTTAGAATATGTTGGCCACTTTTAATGTTATATTTAGAACAATAGATTCCATGTGACAGTGTTAACTCAAGCTAAAAAACAAAGAAACAAAGAGCAGTATTAGAATAGTTCCAAAACAATGCAAAAACATTTCACTTGAAATTCGCTGTTTAAATGACAGTCATCTTTAGGCCTTGGGAGACTCACTCTTGTGAGATGGGTTTCATTTGCCCCATGTTACAGGGTAGGAAAGGGGAAGTGACCATAAGGAAGGCCCTAAGTAGCCTTAAGGGCTTCCCAGGTGGCTCAGTGATGAAGAATCCACCTGCCAATGCAAGAGACGTGGGTTCGACCCCTGGGTTGGGAAGATCCCCTTGGGATGGAAATGCCAACCCACCCCAGTATTCTTCCCTGGGAAATATCATGGAAAGATGGACCTGGCGGGCTACAGTCCATGGTGGTACAGAAGAGTCAGACACAGCTTAGTGACTAAACAGTGCCACCACCAAGCGGTCTTAAAGTTCTCCCAGGTCCTGGGAGATGAAGAGTGGCAGGTTTATCCAGGCCCAAAAGGTTAGCTATCCCAACAGATTATTGTGTACCTGACAACTTGGGGTTTAAGGTCTTCTTTTTTCTTTTTTTTAAAGAAGACTTACATTCTCCAATTCTAGTCCCCTGCATTCCTGCTGGGAGGTTTGGTTTTGTTTAGAGCCTTTCCAAAAACGGAGTCAGGGGTGGGGAGAGTGGGGAATTGGTTTAAATGGAATAAGACAACTTTAGGTCCATTTATAGACAGAGCCTTAGAAACTCATGGAATTCAGAACTTTGAAAAGAGGGCAGGTGTTTAGGTAATGAGGGCTGTTTTGAGATAGGTTTTGTTTAACAGAGACCCTTAAACTTCCCTCTGGCCTCTTGCAGTTTTGACCCATCATCTTTGTCACCTTCTTCATCCTTCCTCCCTCCCTCTCCAGTGAAAGGTGATCTCTCTATATGGCCAGTTTTTAAATAATAACTTGGTTCAGTGAGTGTGTGGGTGGGGTAGATAAGATACCCTCAAATTACTATTTAAATAAAACTTCAGTCAAATCTTGTTGATTTTTTCAGAGGAACAGTAACCAGTCTGGAGACCAAGCATGGTTAGGCCCCAGGTAGAACCCAGGTTACTTAACAACACATACATGTACATTTACTTGTTAAGGTAACTTCATTTGGAGCTCCCCCCAAGGTTTCTGGGATAGACACACAAAGAGGGCTACACATCACTTCAGCAGGTTGCTAGTTAGGTTAAATCCTGCGTCCTTATATCTAATCTTGCACTGGGAGGGTAGCAACAGTAGGTTCTATTTCTCACCTAAGTAACTTAGAAATTTGTGATGTGAAATTCACTCTCAGAAACATAATAGATTTATGAAGTTGTTTCATTGCTTCTTTGACCAGAAAGCCCTTGTCAAGACGCCCCAAGAGACTGAAACACGTTATTCTTATTGAATCTCCAATCTTTATGAATGGCTCTAAAAACATAGTTGAGCTCCCTGCTTCTGTTCTTGTCCCCCTATAATGGGATGGTTCTCCATGCAGCAGCCAGAGGGATCTTTTTTCCTACTAAATCAGATCATGTCCTTCTTTGGCATAATCCTCTCTTTAAGCTTCCTGGTCTACAAGGCCCTGCATGAGCTGGCCCCACGCTTCCTCCCTGGCTTCATTCCCCACCTTTCTTCCTTCACTCCTTGCTCCCAGCCACTTTGGCTTCCTTTTGTTCCTTGGCTTTCTGGCTTGCTCTGGCTTCAGGGGCTTTCCTTTGCCGATCCTGCAGATCCTCACGCCTCTTCCATTAAGGCCCCAGCTTGTGTGTTCCCTCCTCACTGGCTTCCTCCACCAGCCCTCCCCATCACCCTCACATTCCCGTTTTCCTCGCAGCACTTAAAGCTGCATTCTCTCCCCACGTGCACGGAGATAGCGCCAGCTCTGTCGTGGCTGGTTCTCCCACACCCGGCACGGTGCCTGGTCCCGAGTGGCATTGGGCACATCGCTGTCAGTGGACGACTTGGGGAACTTAAGCTGCCCTTGGGCGGTAACCTGTTTTCCTTTTGCAGTGTTGATGGGAACCATCTTCAGCCTCCTGCTGGTGACCGTGATCCTCATGGCATTCTGCGTCTACAAGCCCATTCGGCGACGGTGACAGCTGAGCAAGTCCTTCCATGAGCATCTGGGAACGGAATAAGTTGTGTTGCACGCGGGTCAGTGGAGAAGCTGTAATCGGAACATTACTGCTTGGAAGTAATCTTTGGTCTGGACAGTTGATAAATTCTGAACAATTTAGAAAAAATATCTAGCCATTGTCTTATCCTGACACTGGAAGGCAAGCATTGGGCCACTGAGTCCACTTCTCAGTGTTTCTTCTTATATCTGGCTGTGCTTGTTAAAAGTAAGACCTGAAGCTCCAGGGTTCAGCGTAAAGATGGAGTGCTCAGGAGAAAGAAAACGTAACTTTGTAAGTGGTGAAAAAGCCACCCTGGATTGGAAAAGTCGCTAATGTTTGAAACTGTTATGAGAAGGGGGATTTGACCTGTAGACATTCCCTACTTAAGAATCATTTGGTCAGAATGGGATAAGAATAACAAATGTTATTAATTATCCTGAGTTGGCCTCGATGCCCTGTTCGCAAAGCAGTGTCCGCTATGGGGAACGTAGGTGGTACCCCCCCACCTCACTCCTCATGCTGCATGGAGTTCTGTGCTTAGATACCTCCATTGAAGTCGGGGTCACCAGGTAGGCCTGTGACCACGGGCACCCTTGGGCTGGGAGGCTCTGGGGGTGGCTGGAAGCATAGCAGTTGGCCCGTCTCAAACTCGTTGACTTCCTTGTCCTGCACTTAAGCCTTCCCAGCCTGTGGCCTGGAAGTCAGGGCAGTTTTCTGAATCAGGCGGTCTTTTCTGCCCTGGGTGGGGAGGGTGCAGGGGCGCAGCAGATGTGCATGTTCACTGTCAAGGCCAAGGGGCGAGCAGGTGTGTGTTTACACAAGTTAATTTCCACTTTGAAAATGCTGCTGTTCATTTGCACTGTTGGTGAACTGGAACATCCCCCCGTGGGGATGAGACTTTCATTCTTAACAGTATTTATTTTAAGGGTGCTAGGCTTATCTGTGTTACTAAATTAAAATGCTTATCTTGTTTTGTGCTCTATTCTAGCACAGCACTGATTTTTTTTTTTAAACAACCTCAACTAAATGTGAAATAACTGAAGTGGGATACTGTAACTGACTGAACAGTTCTGTGTGTGACCCCAGCTCTGAGCCGCTGACATGTTCGCTGTTCCGTGCTTTTGAGCAAAATGTCTATTAAAACGAAAGTAAAATCTTACGTGCTGCTTTATCCTAGTCATTATTTCACAAGCATTTAAAATGCAGGGGTGTGTGTGTGTGTGTGTGTGTGTTGGAATCTGATTTAATCTCTTAAGGAGGCACTGTGAAGTGGAGCTCTAAGCTACTCAGAAAACTGAGCCGTAAGTAATCTCTCAGGCTGGGTCAGGGCCCAGAAGACCTGGATTCTTGTTCCGGCTCTAGTTACAAACAGGCTTAACTTCTCTTAGAGCCTCGGTTTTCTTATCTATAAAACAGTGATATACACACTTTATCTTTCTTTATTCTAGTGAGGATCAGATGATGTGAAAACTAACACAAACAGAAGTGGGGTCACCACCGCCAGCCTGTGACTGGAGGGCGGAGTGTTGGGGATTCTGAGGGGCTCTTGCAGGACAGAGTCACATCACAGGAGCCCACATCCCTGCCTCATCTGGGATGCCATGTTTTGTTATCTGCCTAAACACTTATTGCCATTTTTAGAGTTTTAGAAGGAAACAGTAGAGAGGTGAGCTGTGCTGTTTGCAAGATGTTTTGTGCTATTGACTCCGCGGATGAGGAAGAGGAGCAGGTGGAAGAGGATTGTCCTGAATTGGTCCCCATTGAGGCGAAGCAGAGAGAGGTGGAAGAGGAGGAGAAGAAGTCTGGCCCCAGCGCTAAGATCCCAGTCACAATTATCGCCGGGTATTTAGGTGCTGGGAAGACAACACTTCTTAGCTATATTTTGACAGAGCAACATTGTAAAAGAATAGCAGTGATTTTAAATGAATTTGGGGAAGAAGTGCAGTGGAGAAATCCCTAGCTGTCAGCCAAGGTGGAGAACTCTACGAAGAGTGGCTGGAACTTAGAAACAGTTGCCTCTGCTGTTTATAAAGGACAATGGCCTTAGAACTATTGAGAATTTGATGAAGAAGAAAGGGAGATTTGATTACATATTGTTAGAGACCACCGGATTAGCAGATCCTGGTGCTACAGCTTCTATGTTTTGGGTTGATGCTGAATTAGGGGTTGATATTTATCTTGATGGTATCATAACTGTTGTGGATTCAAAATACAGATTAGAACATTTAGCAGAAGAAAAACCTGATGGACTTATCAGTGAAGTTTCTAGGTATTCATTTATTTAAAGTATTTACTGATTACTGGGTAAATGGAAAAAGGAAATTATTGGTAGGAAAAACAAACTGAGAAACAAAAACATAATCAAGGAAAATCTTTTTCCTGTATTTGAATTATTGATATTTACAATGGTCTGATAACTAAAATTTTATTTAAAACTATATTACAGCATAAACTGAGTGCTGAGCCCAGTTCTTTGTGAGGAACTTTTAAATTGTTAACATTTAAAAATATTTTGTTGTTTTCATACAATTTCTTTGGATTGAAAATGATTGTTAAACAAACAAACATACAAACAAAAAGAGGAAACAGTAAAAACTTGTCAGGTCCATAAACCTTGTGCCCTGCCATTTGCCTATAATCACCAGCCAGGTAAACCAATCATGGCCGGTTTTCTGAAACAAACTTGCCAGTCATTCTACATACACATTGAAAACACAGCCTGCATCTTCATCCCGGTGTTAGCATCTGTTCAGTATGAGAGGGAGTAGTAAAGGTGAAAGAAAATATCAGTTCTGGGAGCAAGAAAAATAAACTGAAAACTCCTACGCCCAGCTGCTGCTTTCAAGTGGAATTATTCTCCTGGCCTTTCTCTTCAGGGGTGCAGGGGCAGGGGTCAAACCCTAGGTTCCCTAAGCTGAACTGTACTCAGGTTACTTGCCACGCCCCGCGGCAAACACATTAGACTAATATACACCAAAATGGGTTATTTTAGCAAATACTGATCTTAACATTCTTTAAAGTTGAGACTAAGAAGTTTGCAGGTTGCTGCTTGAGATTATAGGGGCTTAGAGTCTTATTAGTGGATTGCACTTTTGTCCCTTGCAGGATCTCATTTTAAATCCACACTCATTTCTAGATGTGGGTCTCAGTTCAGTTCAGTCACTCAGTCGTGTCCAACTCTGAGACCCCATGGACTGCAGCACACTATCCCTGTCCATCACCAACTCCCGGAGCTTACTCAAACTCATGTCCACCGAGTCGGTGATGCCATCCAACTATCTGATCTTCTGTCGACCCCTTCTCCTGCTTTCAATCTTTCCCAGCATCAGGGTCTTTTCCAGTGAGTCAGTTCTTCCCATCAGGTGGCCAAAGTATTGGAGTTTCAGCATCAGTCCTTCCGATGAATATTCAGGACTGATTTCCTTTAGGATGGACTGGTTGGATCTACTTGCTTTCTAAGGGACTCTCAAGAGTCTTCTCCAACATCACAGTTCAAAAGCATCAATTCTTTGGCACTCAGGTTTCTTTATAGTCCAACTCTCACATCCATACATGACTATGGGAAAACCATAGCTTTGACTAGATGGACCTTTGTTGGTAAAGTAATGTCTCTGCTTTTTTTAAGATTTTTTAAAATTTTTTTAGATTTTTTATTTTTTAATTTTTCCATTTATTTTTATTAGTTGGAGGCTAATTACTTTACAACATTGCAGTGGTTTTTGTCATACATTGACATGAACCAGCCATGGATTTACATGTATTCCCCATCCCGGTCCCCCCTCCCACCTCCCTCTCCACCCGATCCCTCTGGGTCTTCCCAGTGCACCAGGCCNTGTGCTCATCTTTGCATGAAATGTTCCCTTGATATCTCTAATTTTCTTGAGATCTCGTCTTTCCCATTCTGTTGTTTTCCTCTATTTCTTTGCATTGATCATTGAGGAAGGTTTTCTTCTCTCTCCTTGCTAGCCTTTGGAACTCTGCAATCAGATGGGTGTATCTTTCCTTTTCTCCTTTGCCTTTCATTTCTCTTCTTTTCACAGCTATTTGTAAGGCCTCCTCAGACCACCATTTTGCCTTTTTGCATTTCTTTTTCTTGGGGATGGTCTTGATCACTGCCTCCCATAACAATGCCACGAACCCCCATCCATAGTTCTTCAGGCACTTTATCAGATCTAATCCCTTCAATCTGTCACTTCCACTACATAATCATAGGGATTTGATTTAGGTCATATCTGAATGGTCTAGTGGTTTCCCCTACTTTCTTCAGTTTAAGTCTGAATTTTGCAATAAGGACTTCATGATCAGAACCACAGTCAGCTCCCAGTCTTGTTTTCGCTGACTGTATAGAACTTCAGTATTGACCATCTGGTGATATCCATGTGTAGCCTTGTGTTGTTTGAATCCAGTGTTTGCTATGACCATTGCGTTCTCTTGGCAAAACTCTGTTAGCCTTTGCCCTGCTTCATTCTGTACTCCAAGGCCAAATTTGCCTGTTACTCCAGGTGCTTCTTGACTTTCTACTTTTGCATTCCAGTCCCCTATAATGAAAAGGACATCTTTTTTGGGTGTTACTTCTAGAAGGTCTTGTAGGTTTTCATAGAACCATTCAACTTCAGCTTCTTCAGCTGGTTCAGCTTCATTTTGGGTGTTAGTTCTAGAAGTTCTTGTAGGTTTTTTTTTTTTTAAATATGGAACGCTTCAAGAATTTGCATGTCATCCTTGTGCAGGGGCCATGCTAATCTTCTCTGTATCGTTCCAATTTTAGTATAGGTGCTGCTGAAGCGAGCACAGGTCTTGTAGGTTTTCATAGAACCGTTCAACTTCAGCTTCTTCAGCTGGTTCAGCTTCATTACTGGTTGGGGCACAGACTTGGGATTACTGTGATATTGCATGGTTTGCCTTGGAAATGAACAGAGATCTGGACATGGGTCTAGCTTGGACTTTTAAACTGTCAGTCATGGCAGGCAGAGGGTTTCTTTACCACTAGCGCCACCTGGGAAGGCCAACTCCATCATTCAAGGCACCGCAGCCATTTGAAATTGCCATAGTTCAACTCATCTTCTTTGAGGTCATCTGCATTTGTGAGGAAACCTTAGTCACGCACAACTGAGGACTGAGAGGCGTTCTAATGTTCCAATAACACACACAACAGGAGGGGACTAGAAAAATGTGGAGAGAGAAAAAAAAAGACTCGAAAGCATTCAGAGTAGTGTACGAGCACCCTCTAAGGAAGCTGTCTTTATTTGTATTTTGAGAGTGAACACATATATGGAAAATGCTGTGATGGTGACACAAGGCTCAGTCCCTTTTTAAGTGACTTCCTGGGGAGAAAGTCAAAGACGTGGGGAAGCAGAACAATGGAATGCAAACACAGAAATTACCTCTATTCACCTCGGTGAGTAAACACATGGCCTAAATGCAGCCATTCCCAAAACGCATCTTTGCTGGAGGTAAAGGCTAAGTAAACAAAACGCCAGGCTGTGTGTCTGAGACAGGTGATGCTGCATATACTGGCCTCGTATTTGGAGAAGGAATTTTGGTCAGGCCATGATGAGAAAGGCAGAATGGTCACATGGAATCAAAAGCCCAGTTCTTTGTGACCGGGCACGTTTCACTGGCAACAGTTAACTGTATACACGGCCGTTTACTGGAATAGGGGTTTCGGCTTCCCTTCCCATCCCCAAAGCAGCACAACAGGTAGGAAATGGACGCAGAACAGAGGAGCATGTTGTTAACTGGGCGACTTCAGTGCAGCCTGTGGGAATGAATCCCTGGGCCGGGCTGGAGTGACGGTGCCCTCGGCCGCATTCCCCAGGGTCCTCTTATGTTGTGCGATGGTTATTTACAGGAGGGTTAGACAAAATAGTTAACTACTAAAGGTATCCCAAAAAGGGCCTGAGAAAATCTGGTTAAAATGTATAACCTTGTATTGCTACGGATGGGAGCAGTCGTTTTTATCTCTTTTAAAAATAATAAAAAGATTCTGTTAAAAAATATATTTATCCAGAAAGGTGTTGATTTGAACTCTAAAAAGCAACGTGGGTTCACCGTTTTCCCTTTTGAGTACAGAGCCACTGAGTTCTGTCTGTAGCTCCCTTGCTCATTTCAAGCCCACCCCTTCCTCTCCAGTGTGCCCAGGGCACGTCGCGGGGTCTTCCCAGGCCTCTGGGTGGAGACCTCTCACCAGAGAAGGCATGAACACACCCCTGCTTTGGTGATCCTTTGGCCAGCCTGCCCACTTCGAGAACAAGCCTCGGGCTGTCCTAGCTGCTCCTTCAGGGTCAGGGTTAGCTGCCTTGGGTTTAGCCTGGAGGATCCTGCTCTCAAAGGAACTGCCTTTACAAATTCAAATCAGACCCCTCCTCGACAAGAAGTGGAGGTGGTTTGAAACTATCAGTAATTTTTAAGGCTAAGGCAACATCCGTTGTCATCTGTATCTTAATTTGATGCAAATAGTTAACCCTAAATCTAAAACAGATCCTGTACTTATCTCCTCTTCAGCTGTGGCGGGAGGGGTGGAGTAAGGTGGGGGTGGCTTCGGAACAGTGAGGGTGCCCTGGAAACCCTGTACAAAGGTAAAAATGAAAGAGCAGATCGGCACAGGTGATCCATTTCTTTGGTGAACTGTAAAGAAGTGTCTCCTAGGTCCTCCTACACCACGCTCTGCAAAGGCTGCTGCTCTCCTCTATAAAAGCACCCGACTCTGCAAGAACTCGTCATCACTCCTCGATAAAAATTAATCTACAAACCTGGGGGAGGGGCAGTGGGAGGAGGGACTGGGTTTGTATCTAAAGCTGGTAAGTAAAAAACGTGACCTGCAAGCCAACAGAGCTAATGGAAAGTGACGATGCTCTCCTCCCCTGATGCCTGGAGCGCGGGGGCTGCGGGACCCCAGCCCGTTCACCGGGGAGCGTGGCGGGTGGGCCCGGAGAAGCCCCAGCCCTGCACCTCTGCAGAAAGCGGGAGACAGCTGCCTTCTGCTGCACCCGAGTAAGGTGCAGTCCCGCGCAGGCGCAGTCCCTCGACCGGGAGCGCAGACAGGGGGCGGGAGGCAGGCGGGCCTATTTCTCGGTGAGTGACAGCTGGAGGACTTGCTGCAGCTCCGCCTCCTCCTCGCGAAGCCGCAGCTCGTGCTCCTCCAGCTCTTTGGCGGAGAGCTCCATGGCTAGCTGCAGGTCGCTGTCAAAGCGGCTGGTCTCACCGGAGGTGTTGGAGCCCAGGCCTTCGGAGCTGCTGAGGAGGCT